AAAAAAACTCCTGCTTGATTTTTTTCAACACGTTCTATCACTTTATCAAATATTATTTTCTGACTTTCATTCAATAATGCAATTTTTTCCAAATCACTATTATCTATTACGTAGTTTAGTTCTTCTAATATTAACCTTGGTAATTCTTCTGTGTTTTGTTCTTCAGATAGATCAAGTGTTGGAAGATCAAATTCATTTAATTTTCTGTGATGTTGTTCTAGAATACTTTTAATATAAAGAAGAACTGCGTTGATTAGACATTGATTACTGGAAACTCCGTTTCTTACAAAATCTTCAGACATACTAATAAAATTATCATTCCATAAAGTTCGTACATCTCCTGGTTCCCCAAATACTAATATTATTGAAATAATCGTCGTAGAGAATAAGGCATTTGAAATTGAGCAGCTTCTTGCATAGCATTGTTATATAGATTTTTAATTTCTATAATTCCACGTTTTAATGCACTTTCTTGAAAAGTTGCATATAAATAACCTTCAACCCTTCTTAAATCTGTGAAAGAAGTATCACCTTTAACATGATTGAAAAGCAAACGTAAATAATACTTTTCTTCTTCAGTTGGATTCACAGCATACATTCTCCCAATTACATTTCTTTGTTTATGTTTTGCCCATTTTTTATTAGTTTTATTCCAAACATAGTAATGCGGAAATTCACAATAGCGATAATTTTTAGCATCAGGATCAATTTCATTCATTTTAAAGTATTCTGTCAACATTGTTTTTTTATATTTATCATCATTAATTACATTTTCAAGTCTATCTTCTTCTGAATAAATTACAGTATGTTGATAAGGGAGATGCACTTGTAAGTATACTACTGATGGATTTATTCGCGACATATCAAAACTAAAAATTCTCCAGCAGGCTTCTGAAGCAGAAACCCACCGAGCATCTAAATATTGACTAATTTCATCGTTGGTTATTTGAATAGCAGCCCGGTCATGTCCCTTGTATACATATTTGTACAAATATTTGACTGACTTTATGCCTGAGCAAATTTCAACGTTGACATGACAGTCATATTTAAATAACAAATAAGGGTTATAGGGGACAACCCAACGGTTATCAAGCCATGTACCTCTGCATAGCACTTTACGCCCATTATTGCGATGATGATACATAGGATAAGAATTATTGCCTTCTCTTGTTGTTTGAACATATTCTTTAGGATAATGTTTTGTACATGACCCA